TTACAGATACGGCGCCAAAATAATCATGAGTGAACGAAAAAATATAGTTACAAAAGCGGGGAAAATAAAACAGTCAACTTGGGAGAGTAATTTCTTTTTACTGCACGCATTTTTGAGTTTGTTTTTCATTTTTGTTCATTTTTGGGGTTGAATATAGGAGAGGATGCATTCACGCCACTGACTTCGGTTCGATACCATATCCCGGAGTGTCTCCAGCCAAATAAAATCTGAATTTTTGGGACCCCAGCCGGGAAGCCCGAACGGAAGCCAGATCCGAGCACAGTCTCTTTAGCCGTCTGCGCCACGTCATAACCTGTCCACCTCGCTGTTTCTTTCAGCCTGGACTGACGTCTGCGAATAGTGCACGGTGTGGCAGACGTTGTTCAGGCATTCGTAGGATGTGCTCTAGCCACCTAAGACGATGCTGTGAAATTATTTTGCTCAAGGGAAGACTATCTGATCATAGCACCCGTCGTCTGACGTCATCGTTATTCACACAATGCTCCCATCATACGCGGGCGATCTTGCGCGATTATACAGAATACTCTGACTAACTTCGGTATCGATTATCCGGTTTCCTAATCACACTGGTGCAATATGGCGTAGATAGCAGTCTTCAAACACTGTTTTTCCATTTGCAACCGTGATTTCTCTGTTGGTAACCAGTATTTACTTCCTCTTTCCGAGATTATCTTTGATCTAGTTATTAATTTAGCCTCTGGGCAGGATGGTGCACGCCTGTTGTGCAGTGACTTAAGGTGGATTACTCAAATTAGTGTTCTTGACTACATTTCATTTGAATGGACGTTACCGTATTAAACTTACGGACAAATTCCACTGAAAATATGCAACATGTGTTCTCAAGTTAGCTCAATCATAAACCACTCTGGTTAGCTCCGCAATACTGAGCTAGAATTGATCATATCCATCACCATCGTTGAAAGCAAGAGGAGCAAAAGGTGACCACGGACATAATTCACGTACAGAACAAAAGTAACCTGAAGTGAAGACAGACACGACCCACTAGACAACTGCTTCATCCTTGTTGGGTATCATCTGCTATGCGAATCAATCAACATCCCAAACATGACACAAGCGTGCCACGGTGTTGGTTTACTAACGAGACAAGCTTACGCACATCACAAAAATCATTTTGCCAATTTCAGTTGCACATTATTTGAAAGTGGATATAAACCTAACAAATTAATAATTAACAAAACAAATTGAAATTCCAGCATCAATGTTTTCCCCCCACCGATTAGCTTTGCCCTGTGATGCAACGGTTTTGGCCGGTGTCTTTTGGTTTTGAAGAAAGATTCGCCTGCAATTCGTTCCACGGTTACAACCCTTTATTGGCTTCGAATTTCGTCAAATCTGTATTGCTTAATGTTTTGAATAAGTAAGCAGTATAATGGCTTAAAATCAGTCCTAATTGTGGACCGTAGATACATCAACCGAAACTTATTGTGAATTCCCGTGCACAAGTCCTCTCCGGTGAAGAAGTTTGAGATCAGATCACATCAAGGCAAAAGCCTCGGATTGCGAACAAGGAGCATATCATTCCCCATAGATACCGTGGTATACAACCATTCCACAGACTGTGCATTTTCTGAGCACCAACAGACATGAAGTATCCTGAAACCATGGTACGTACTACGGACGAGTCCTAAGAAGAATAAATCAACAGTCTGGTGCTCCCTTTCTTGGCAGTAATATACGAACTATTTGACAGCGTTGAATTTTCAATTATTTCAGAAGTATACTCAACCGGAAATTTTTTATATAATGTATGACTGCTTTGTGATGTTTCATACCTGGCGAGACTCATCAAAAGTTCATACCTGTTGTGTTATTGTTGAGACCAAAATTATGAACTTCCGCGTTAAGAAATCCAGCAAGATTAAACGCTCAGTGTTTATGTTTGCGTGCTGTATGATTTTGATTTTGGGAAGGAGTAGAAAACTGGAAATTTCGATTTCATCACCCAGTTAGTTTCAGTGTAACGAATATCTGAATATTTGGCACCTCTACCTGAAAACCAAGACACCCTAAACGTTGACCACACCCGAAATCAATTTCCTCATCTCTATAAACCAACTTATGCCTTTCCTACCCAGTGAGGTTAATTTGCACACACTGATGATGTCGGCCAACAAGGTTGTGTCAAATGAATGCTTATTAATGCATCTTTTATCTGTTATTCAACTTAATCAGTTTGCATATTAAGAACGCAGAGGTGTCGAAATTGGCAGATAGTAACAAGGACGAAGAAGGTTGAATAAAAACGGCGTAAAGAAACAAACCATGTATTTTGGATTTAACTCACCAACATCTCATTGAATTAGGCCAGCAGGGAAAAAATATTTAACCAATCAAATTCCAGAATTTCCTCATTATCTGATTGGTTTTTTTTGTAGATAATGCCTGTAAGTCAGGATAAAACAGACAGAGGAACAGAAAAATAACTATTTTTGTGATACAACCAAACTGGTGATTCACCATTGATCCATGTGTTTGCAGCCGATTAATTTGAGCTCATTAAGAGCTCTGCAAATACATCCCTCCAGGTGTTATAATTCTTCATGGTGGTGCCCGGTCGAGGAAAGTTGTTTATTACGAATAATGATCAGGGTATCAGTAAACTGTCATTCATACAATAAAATATCTCATTTTGAACGAGTCTGCAGAATTCCTACAGGCACAGAGGATAATTGATGGAACGGTCCACTATCAGATGCACATACCGAACAGCAGCAACTCGCTCCAACAGGTTTTGTTCATTTTTTGGCCGTTGAAAGAAACAGACGATTGCATCTTTTTGCGAACTGCACACAAGTGAGTAGTGTTTTACAACACAGGGATATATAGATACAGACGAAGAGGGCTCGCGCACTCCATATCGTTTCAGACACAGCAAGTGCAGTATGCTTGTAAATAGAGTAGTAGACAGAGAACAAACGAAATATTTACCTAGGGATTTGAATGTTTCTGTCTATTACCGGCAATAGGCGTACCAATTTGTAGTTCTCTCGAACTTATTACCAAACAAATGAATCATACACCTTTCTATTTGACCCTATTGAAATTGTTTCGTATAACTGTAATATAGACTTGAAAACGAATTCATCGAAGACATATGTTCGCCTACCCCGGTGCTCGGCTTAGTTTTGGTATTTCCCCAGGTGATATGGAATTTGGGGGCGATATTATTAGTAAGGTCTTCAGTCGGCTATTGACAGAATAAAGCACTTTAAAAAAGTGATTGATTTAAACATCAACACATGGAAGACTTTTATGTATGCTCTACGTTAGTCCTACAGCCAGAGCATGTCAATGACCATTGAGTATAACGTTTATAAGGCTTTCAAGTGTCTCGGATTCGTGATTCTATCGGCCAGTAGTCAGAAACAGAAGCCGATATTTTTCAACTTCGCCAATTTACCGGACTCAAGATGAGATTAGCTTGAGGACCGAACATCTAATCTCTCATTACTGAGGTGCGCAACGTTCGGAAACTAGAGATATTTGACAACAAGCGCCTAAAGTTAATCATAAGGGTATCAAGCAGCAACTACAGCTTGAACAACGACGGTGATTGTCATGATTCGATCGTCTTTGGTGTCATTCAGTTAAGAACGCGAAAGACGAAGCCTCACTCCTTCTCAGTGTCCAACTTGGCACTGCTTATTGAGAAGAAAGATGGAAATATCGAATCGGACATTAAAAGTTACTTTCATTAGGTGACCAGAACTCCGGCTAGACCTCAATCCGAGCTGATTTCTTCACTGATCATCATTAATGGTCAGTTTTCACATGTCCGTCTAACAGAGACAGCTAGTTGTATCAAAGTAGAAACAAACAATGAAATATGCTCTGTGTTTCAATTCACTTCCCAAATTTCAATACTGCAGAAAGTTATTCTGCTTTGGCCAGCTATCCCGTTCTCATACAAATAAAAACTGCTATCAGTTTGCTAATTCAGTCGTTTGAGAATAATATTGATTGAACTAGGGCATAAATTCAGTTAATTTAAGAAAACAATTAATTATGTACACTAGTATGATTGTTCCATATGCTAATTTTCACAGTTCGTACAGAGGGAACAAGCGGTGAAACATTCAGCAGGATAGAACCTATACTTCGGTCAAACGTTTGGCGGATTCGACTGAGCTATTCTAAAATATTTTCGGCACACCTGATTGCATATGCAAGAATCGGTTAGGGTACTCGACGGATGCTGTCAATGTAAGAAAACGGTTTCAGTTCGAAAAGGCACCTTTTGAGAATTCCAAAATATCGCTACCTCTTCTTGTGGAGTTAATAGTGCATTTCGTTTGGGAAATTCCAGTGGTGTTGGCGAGCAGCATGTTCCGCTTGTCTGAAAGGTCAACAATTCAGTGGTACGTGTTCCAAATTCCAGAACATGCCCGTGTTAACATGAGAACACGAATTTAGAGGCGCAGAATTCTTTTCATTGATTCATCTTCTGGCCTGTATAGATCAAATAGGAAAATGGCATTTTGAACGGGGATAGTCATTCCGTCATTCAAAAGTCACGGTGATTGATTTGGAAGGGAGAGGAATGGGGGTGGGCTTGGGGGTGCGACTTTTTTCACACACCTTGATCACCACAACACTGCAATCAAGCTGTGATGCGTCATCCGTGGGATCGATCTTCGGCCACGGTAGTTGAGTAGCCTGGGCCAATCTCTTCTGTGCGCATAGATTGGGTTTGAATAAACGAATGCCGATCGCTTCCGCAGCGGCTAGGGTATGGAGACGCAGCGACTTGGATGGGTGAGGTGGTACTCGATAGATGACTTTGAAGGCTGATTCAGGCTTAACTTGATGAACTGAGTCTGCTAGGTGAGCGAGGATAGCGCTTCCTGTGACACGTTTTCTACCGTGTTGAAGCCAGCGTGGACAGTGCTCTTAAATCCGCTGAGAAAGCTGTTTCGTCGTTCGGCCAATGTAGGTTGCGTTACAAACGTAACTGGAGGAATATATAACCATAGATGAGGCCAGCGTAGGTAGACTGTCTTTATTGGGTGTTCTTATTATAGTTGAGCCAGTGAATACGCATGACAACCTGGCGGCACTGAAGGTTACTCTCACAACACGCTCCAAACGTCTCCTAATCAGATCAGACAGATCGTCTCCTTTGAATGGCAGTTTAATAAACAGTTACTTCTTCGGAGCCTCCTGAACAAGCTCGTGTTTCATTTTCTACTAAGTTTTTCTCGATGAAACTTTCAGGGTATCCGTTTTCCCTTAGAATGTTTTTAATCTGATCAAGTTCGTCTGTCTGTCGGGAAATCTGTTCGTTCAAACTGCTTTCCCTGAATCAGCAGCAGAATGGTCCGTCCAGAATTGTGGAAATAGATGAAACCGTCGTGAACAAGTTTAAATATGAACATGGAAGACCACTGCAAACTAGTAGAGTTTTTTAGGATGTATGATGAAATCAGAGGAAAAGGATACTTCGAACCAGTGGACAACCGATCGGCAAGCACACTGTTGCCGATAATACAACGATGTATAAGGCCTGGATCCATCATTTACTCCGATGAATGGGCAGCATACAGAACACTGTCCTCCTTGGTGTACACTAAGGGAACGGTGAACCATTCCAGAGGATTCATCAATCAAGCAACGGGTACCCAGAACATGGAAGGCTACTGGAGCCGGATAAAGAGGAAACTGAGGGCAGTTTCCGGTTCTGTCGGGGACAGGAGGTGGGACCACTTGGACGAAGTTCAGTACCGATATTGGTTTAACTTTTCTCCCTCAAACATCAAAATGACTATGAAATTTTTTTAGAAGCAAATCAGTGAACGTTATCACGTCGATTAATCTTATAAATATCATTAATTATCTGATTATTTTATTAATATTTTTTCCAATATTTTTCATCACAATACATATTTATATTCACTTTTTGAAGTTCAGATATCAAACTTTTACGTAAGCGAGTTTATGCTACTCCTCAGTAGTCATTATATTATTGCTCTTTGTCTCTGGAGTGGTCTTGTGTAGAGCAAATGAAGCGTGAAATGAAAAGCTGGTGTGCACTGTACAACTGTTCCTACCTTGTTGGGTCTCATCAGCAGTGTGAATCCATTGATCCAACTGTGGATCGAACCCGGGACCTCACAGGTGGAACGCAAGCATGCTACCCACTCAGCCACCAGTCACATGGACCTCATCGGAGTTGCCAGACTCGTACTTTTAAAGCCACCATGCGGCGTAGGCTTGTAATCCTCCGGTTGAAGCGAGGGGGTGACGATTGTGGGACGTGCTTCGGTCACACCCCAATCCCCATGATTGATTGTTTAACTTGTTAGCACGCGTATGCTCAGACAACTTGAAATGATAGCCGAATATCTTGAAATTGTATTCGAACAAATCAATTGCAAGAGGTATAGTTTATTTCAGAATCTGAGGCGGCAAGATTGCGCTTTGTCACCATTATTTTCCGCAGCCATGGATACAAAAAAGATCGTCTAAGTAGAAAACTGGAGTTTTTTTGAAAGGAATCCTGTTAGATTTACGCACAAGTTCAGTTTTAACAACCAATAAGCATACACTTTCATACATCTGTTTTGGTTGCTATCATTAGACTAACCATTTGGATAAAAAGCAGAAATAAGATAGAAATGTTGCGGGCAGTCATACAAAGAGCGAAGTCAACACACAAAATACTTGTGTTATCCAATGTGTAGTATATATTCCACACATGTGCCTTACAAATAAAAACACAACAATCTTCATACACAGAGAAAGTTCCAGGAGTTTTTTTGTTGGCAGAATACTGTCAGGTTGCTCAGGCCGAAGCAGATTAGTTCACAACCGGAGCCTTTGACTAACCAAAGCCTGACCTGAAAGGTAGCTGCTGTGTGGTGTATGAGAATCGCAATCCATTGGGGGCTGGGGTCCAGTTCATCGAACAAAAGTTCTAGTAAATCGTAATGATGACTTATTTTCTGATTTTAGAGTTTCAATATAACTAGTTTCGGCGTGAAAGGATCAAAAAATTTAGCTGCACTTGAATATTCCAATCATTGCTACGAGCCAGAAGAATGTATCGATTGATATGTTATGGAAAGTTCATCTTTTTTAAATGATCAAAGAGAATAAATTGAGTGCTTGGTCGATCATTAATTACTAGTGGTTTAGTTGTATTCTCGCGCATTATGGAAAAGATCTTGAAGTTCGTGTCAATCGAGCGCCAGACCACGAGGTTTTTCTATGGTCTGCGTGGAACGAAAAACAAGGTGACTCAATAAAGTATTTCTCAAGTAGTATTACCAAGTTGGAGGCTGAGACATATTGTGAAATATTCTCCTAGACGATCTGAGCTAGAAACGTCATTAGAAATTCCCTTTTTCTAAGAACAGCTGGGAATACGGACGCTGTCTTTGCTAGCATTCTTGAGCGCTTTTTTCCGGGAAAACCAAAATCTGGATCATTGTATATCTCCGGAGGATTACAGTTGTGGAATCAAAAGTAACTTTTGCAGCTACAAACAGTAAACTATCCACTTATCATTTGGAGGTGTTCAGAAGAAAAAAACAGGGATCAGTATCACGCAGTGAGCAAACTGAAGAAATTAAAGTCCGCAGTTGAATGACTGTTGTTTATCGGGCAGCCTAGTTCGAGCCAGTCAGTCTACGTACCGTTGTAGGTTGAGTGAGAAGCATGATACCAAACTGTATTGTATTATATATTTTGTGCAAGTACAACGATTTGCATTTCAGTCACACTGTGCGAATTACAAGAAAGCGAAAACAGATTTTCGGTTCACAGAGTGTATGAAAATATCAAAGTTAGGGCAGACTCTGCTTGTTCACCACTGTCTGTGTTGACGAGCACACGCGTGCTACATAGGGCGCCGTCCACTGGAACAAGTGGTCAACACCCATAAACTACGGTGGTTGGGACGTGTATTGAGCACATCAAAAAATAGGTTGCTACGGCACGCGATATCTGCCGAGGCAGACAGAACACTGGGTCACATATGTCCAGTTGGGCTCCCTGGATGGGGATCCCGAGATCATTGTAACCGGATGGTTACAAACACTGCGTGATATGTCTGAGTGTCGGAAACAGTGGCGCTCGTGCATCTACTCAATATATTCACAATCTTAGTTTATGTTAATTATCTATCTTCTTTGACTCTGCTCACAACGCCTCATTCTTCCCTCTGCTGTTTCGTCCAAATGGGCAACGAAAACCGGCGAATGAAGGTGTATGGTTCACGATCTTACAAACTGAAACTGAAACACTCCAGAGTTTTTGACAAAGAAATGAAACAGAATTTTTCTAAGTCTCACGGTTAATGAGCTTTCAGTAAAATAATTGGACAAACGAAATGGTAAGTATTTTATGTGCTCAAAAGATTTACGCTTTTGTGAAGACGACGACCAATAACTATAGAGTCAAATATTGAGAAATGGTTAAGAAGAACACTGAAATGATTTCACAGTGATTCCAAGACTTGGTGATTAAATTAATAAGAGTGAAGACCGCATCAAAAATAGATCTGTTAGTGATCCATTACTCGGTTTATAAAATAGTGTAATGGATCACGTCTACTGTGGGCAGTCAACATAAGTGCACCACATGTCAAGGCTATGGGATGAAAACATTCAAAAAGCATGACAAATTTGGATAATTCGGAATTGCGACCGACCTCCAACAGGTTGAAATAATGGAAAAGCGAGGTGATCCATTTAAAATGGAGCTGACTGACTCAGTGTCAAATTCCACAATTCCCATCCGGATGTGCAGTAGTATATGCACCACAGAATTTGAGAAAGTCTCCATATTACAGATGTAATCGGCGAATGGCGAACGAGTGCGGCCTTAATAGTATCAACACTGATCTACTACTCTATTCGTTTTTATTCTTTTGAAAGGGAAGCTCGGTGCCTTGTTGCAGATGCTTACTGATATCAGTTGTCAGAATTCTGGGGGGAAATAACACATAAAATCTTTATTTTGACTTTGATAAGTCTGGTTAAACACTTCACAGATAAAGCATTATGGAGGCGTTTATGCATGTTCCTTTTATCTACGCAACAACTCCGGTGAGGACGAGCCTAACCGACAATTGGACACAGACAGACTTATAACTGTCCAAGAGTAATTATTGACGACAATGACTGTTTTGGTAAGAACAGGAACACTCGTGAATAGTAAACAAGGATAAAGTGAAAACCATGTACAGAGAAATATTTGCAGGTGACAATATATGAATACACTTTAGGACAACCTAAGAGTAAATAGTAGTCACTATTAAAAACTGAGGCTGTTAGTGTAAAAGA